GTTGCGATCTAACAGACGCCCGGTAGAAAGTAACATGATTTAGTTACAGCAATAAAGTCCAGCAATATAAAGTTGTTTTATGCGAAACCATAGACCTTTTATCTACAGATCAAGTATAATAATAGTAACATTGAATCATCTTGGAGAGTTTCATCGTGTTGACTCTTGTACCCGAACGCGACGCGCTGTTTGATGCTGAATGGAGAATGACTGACAGCCGCAGCGGAGGGAAAAAGTTTACGTGGTCTTGAATTTAATGACTTAAATATTCATTTATATCTCACATTATACTATATAATGGCTTCAGAACACTTAGAAGATAGTGCACGAAAACTTTATGGTGCTTTATAATGTTTTTGTGCCTTTTGTGGGGCTTAACAATAACACAGAATAATATGCACAATATCGGATTTGGATCGGCCTCGTCTGACCGATACCCGATCCGGCAAAAATGGCAGTATCGGAGCCGATACCGATACTGAGTATCGGGTCGATGCATCCCTACTTACTGTACATTTTTTAAAGGAACACTCCGACTTTTTGGGACTTTAGCTTATTCACCTTATCCCCCAGATTTAGATAAGTCCATACACACCTTTTTCATCTCCGTGCGTGCTATAAGTCTGTTTGACGCACCCACCGCTAGCCTAGCTTAGCACAAAGACTGGATGTAAATGGTTGCAGCTAGCATACTAATCCAAATAAGTGACAAAATAACGGAAACATTTTCCTATTTACATGTTGTGATTTGTATAGTCACAGAGTGTACAAAAAACAAAGTCACATGAGACACAGACATATTTTAACTGTATAAATACTGGGAACTATATTCTCTGAAGGCGAAGCACTGCTACTTGGGCGGAGTGATAACCGCAGCACCTGAGACGAGCCGTGGTGAGGCAATATTCAGAGAGCAGTTTATCTTACTCTGGGGGATAAGGTGAATAGGCTAAAGTCCCAAAAAGTCGGAGTGTTCCTTTAAGGCAGAACAAAGAGCTAATTTAAGTAATACATACATGTTTGTTATTAGAGGATTAGATTAGGACTCTGACTAATATGGTATAGCCTAATGGAAATGCAGATACTTAATGCTTAGATTGTTAATACATAATGTTTTTGAACAGGTGACATTTTATGTTTTGGCCCTTCAGTTGAGTTCAAAATAAAATGGACACAACGAAATAAACACTTGATTTTTTTTTTTAATTAGTCGTTTAGATTAGTCGACTAATCGAAAAATTAGTCGAAAGATTAGTCGTTAGAAAATTAGTCGTTAGTGGCAGCACTAGTCACGTGCGCATAGGAAACATGCCACCCTATCGGCAAGTCTCATCGGCAGAAATATTCATATCGGCCGATGCCGATGATGGTCATTTTAAAGGGATACTCCACCAGTTTTTCTTATTAAACTATGTTATTCCCTTAACTAAGACGAGTTGATACATACCTCTCTCGTCTCAGTGCGTGCACTATATCGCTCTGTATTGCCGCAAAACTATGTTAGCACTTAGCTTAGCCCATGCATTAAATATGGGCCAAGCAGAGAAGCGACCAAACACTTCCACGTTTTCCCTATGTAAACACAGTTACTCGAGTAGTGTAACTTGACCTGGGCTGGTGACACAAAATAAACCGTTGCGCTTTTCTAAGTGTTTAAAATTGATGACTATATTGTATGGCGGAATACCATAACAAGTGCTTTTGAGCACTTCGACTTGGCGCAATAATATCTTCACTAGTGAAAAGTCCTCTTACCGGCTCCCGCTTCCTCTCCCCTCGTGGCCACAGTGCCACCGTAAGATAAAAAGATGAATGACTTTTAAAAATATTGTGGAAAGCAAAACACTGGATAATTTTATTCGCATCTGCATCCATTGTATTTCGTGCTGTTTTACTTCTTTTTCCGGGTCAGAACGTCTACATTTGGTAGTTTCAGCAGTGTATAGTGTAAATGCAAAAATCGGATACGGGTCACTTTTAAAAGATGATGTAAGCGGGTCGTCAAAAAAATCGGATGTAGTCAGAAAATCGGATTTGGGCATCAAGACCTGCAGTGTAAATGTAGCCTAAGTGACAAACTCAAACTAAATAATAATTGCAGCCTTTGCGATTTCAAAATCGCGATAAGTCAAATCGGTTTAAAGGAGTAGTTCACTTTTTAAAAAACTTTTGCTGATAATTTACTCTCCCCCATGTCATCCAAGATGTCCATGTCTTTCTTTCTTCAGTCGAAAAGAAATGAATGTTTTTGATGAAAACATTCCAGGATTTTTCTCCATATAATGGACTTCAATGGTAGCCAAACGGTTCAAGGTCTAAATGACCGTTTCAGTTCAGCTTCAAAGGGCTTTAAACGATACCAGACGATGAATAAAGGGTCTTATCTAGCGAAACGATCTGTCATTTCGAAAATAAATAAAAAAGTTAAAGTTTTATAGGCACAAATGCTCGCCTTGCGAACTCTCCTGTTCGAACTCGTTCATCAAAATGAACGAATCTTTTTTCGAGTCATTGACTCGTTCATTTTGATTTCCCCTCACCGCTCAAAACGGACTTTTTTGTTCAGTGCTGAATTCTGTATGCTGGCAAATCCTCTAATTATAACAAACAAAGTGTGGATATTATGAAAGATTGATTGTGCAGTCAGCTTCATTGATAATAACAGAGATGTGTGAGATCGCGATGGACTGTCAGCTTTTTAGGAATTATTAAGGGAGCGCACTTTGCGCGCATTCAGTCATGCCAGACCATGCACGCAGTAGCCTGCTTGCTTTTATGTTAAATTAACAGTGGTTTGTGTGTTAATGCTTTAATAACAAATAGTTTATCATAGGGTAGGGTCGGGTTTTGTTTACATCCATTTTATTTATTGCTTTTGGTATTTATTCAAGTGCATTTTTTGTTAGCAGAGACATTGCTTTTATTGTTTTTGGTTGTTTTGTTCATTTATTGTGGATATTTAAAATGTTTTCCATTTTCAGTGGTAAATAGTTTTTAGAAATAAAAGTTTATTGATCTTTGAAAAGGTGTACCTGCATTATTATGCCATTATCATTATTTTAGATGTAAATGGTCTCAGAACGTCAATATTATCGTTTATCGCAATAATTTCTTGGACAATTTATCGCCCAGCAAAATTTGTTATCGTGACAGGCCTATGTAAGCGTACGTACACTCTAAATGTACATGCGCGCTAGTCTAATCTTCTAGACTACATTACGTAGTGTATGCGTGCACTCAATGGGTGTGTTTTTGTTTGTTTTTTGTATTGTAATGTCAGATCGTTAAATCAACAATTACGATATCATAGACGATATATATCGCACACTCCTACAACACTGGCCCGATCGGGCAAGTGGCCGTTCCATCAAGTGTCCCGAGCGTCGTTCACACTGGCCCCGGGCCATCGGGCAGTCCTTATTGTCGAGCCCTGGGTTAACCAAACAGCTTAGGAATAGTTTGTTCAAAAGTTATCGATCTGTCAGCGCTTATCGTCAAAGAATCGATTGCTCCATTTTACTACAAGTCTTTCATGGTTCTTGTGCTTCCTTTTTGAAAGCTCAGTTACTTGTTACTGCATGGAAAATGCCAACTAGTGTTGTGTTTTAAAATCTGCATTTAATTTTTGGATGATCTATTCAAATTCAAAGTAGCCATTTTCATTTTGAATAGAGGCAGTTTAGCCGCCTTTTTCCCCATGTAATTTATTGTAATGGTCATCTTACAAGACAAGGGGACATTTCAGCATTGAGCCATGTTGCTTTAGTGTGAGTCACCTCACTCCATTTTTATGTCTTAAGAACCTAAGTCTCTTTGCGAATTAATTGTCTCTGCTCTCAAAATATTCACCAAATCCGTTAAGGCATGACACATCACATCAGCTTGTTAGATTTAATAAGAATGGTTTACACCTAAAGGGTTTTGACAGTGCAGAATGAATTGGTTTGTTACAGATTTAGTTTTTGGTTCTGTCAACTTCAACCTGTATTCAAAGTCAAAGTCACTCAGAATAGGCCTAAATATTGTCTGATGTCTCTGTCTGAAGGCTGTAGTTTCACAGTTACTTGATGTAGAAATATGCTCATATTCATTTAGTTGGCCTTCATATAAAACTGTCTCTGTCCTTGTGGCTGGCTCTTTGTTTTTTACTCTTAATGTTTGACCTACATTGATACTGCCTACCATTAAGCAGTGGTCCTCAACTGGTAGATCATGAGTCGTAATTGGCTCCCGAAATTTAATCTCTGTGAATTTATTTGGCAGCATTTTTGCAAGTGCAAATAATTTTTGTGGTACGACCTTTTTTCTAGAGATGCACCAGCCGACCGGCCATAAATCGGAAACGGTTTTTAGTTTAATTTTAGCTGATCTCTATTCTGGACTTGCACGCAAACTTCATTGCAATCATTTCCTGAAATGTAATTTATGTGGAAATATAACACAGGCCAGAGATGCGACACGCTGAAGACGGGCGCAAAGAGGAGAGCGGAGACACGCAGCAGAGAAAATGCCAGACACAGCAAGATTACTGTTCGAGATGCTCGATATATAGGAAGAACAAAATAAATATTGAATTGGGGGTAGGGGTTTATATGAATGTCTCTCTGAAGGAAACTGACTGTCTTCAGAATAGTTTCGATGGAATTTTTTTTTTTCCTCTTACCTCCGTATAAAGTAATATTTATAAATGCAGCGCTGCTTTGTTTATAGCGGTACCCAAAGAAATGCTTCTTTTCCATAAGCACCACCTGCTGTGAGAGAGTGATTTTCCATTTTCATTCAGTCTGTCCGTTTTTGTTTTGTGCAGGTGTCTTATGTAACAAAACCAACTGCTCATGCTACATGTGTAGCATATTTGTTTGGATTGTGATTCAAATGCAGTGGTTGCCTCTAATTTCAAATGGCTACAGATGGTTTTTAATAGCCAGTTTGGCCTGTTATAGAACAAATAAACCGCTAAATTTGACTTGTGATGTTTCTTTGTCTTGTGTTATTTTCAGGCTGCCCCCTGGAACAGTGGTGGGTGGGTGGTGTGGAGCTGGCCTCGGCACCGGGAGAGGCCCCCTCGCCCGCCCCCTCCCAGCGCTGCATGGCTGCAATGGCGCCCGCTTTAACCGACGCGCCGGCCGAAACTCACCGCATACGCTTCAAACTGGCTCCGCCCTCCTCCACCCTCTCCCCGAGTGGCGTGGAGGAAAGTGGTACCACCAACCATATCCTCGTGTCCAGTAACGGCGTAGTCAAGCGCAAGGCCTCGGAGGAGCGCCCCTCTCGCGGGGCCGGCCCCTGCAAGCCCCTCGTTACCTCATATCACTGTTCAGATGTGACCTCTGTGTCCTCAGCAAAAGAGTCTCTCAAGCTGCAAGGTGTTCTACTAAAGACGCACAGCATCCTGCCAAACCTCATACCACGGAAGCACCAGGCCTTAGAGCTCTCTGAAGAGCAGCTAAAGAGCATCATGAGTGCCGGTGGAGGAGGTGGGCCATGTGGGCCGCCCACCGTCCAAGGCACCACTGTCAATGGCGTGACAAAGAAAGTGACTAAACCGACTGAAAGAGACAATGCAGTGACCTTTAATGGTGGTCAACATACTGTCGAGCAGGATTTGTCAAATCCGACTCAAATTGTCATTGCTACCAGGGGATTGACAACGAATGGTCCTCTTCGAGACGGTGCGGAGCAGCACCAGCTGTCAACGGGTGAGTCCCAGAATTGTCCCAGCAATGGAGCACCTCCATTAACATCCCCAACCTCCATTACACATCTCACAGTGGACAAAATCTCAGACTGTATCCCGCTAAGCAGTGAAGATCCGTTGGCGCTCTCGCTCGCTACCCAGCAAGACCCCTTAGGTGACCTTGGAGTGGAGCTAAGCGATCGTACCCAGCACAGCCAGAGCAGACAAGGGGAGATTGAGGCACGGCTACGGCGACTACGCAAACGGCTGCAGGTGGTGCAGGCCAAGCAGGTGGAGCGCCACGTGCAGCAACAGTTGGGTGGACTACTCAAGAGCACGCTGGGTGCTCTGGATGCCAGACGGCCAAGAGGCCGTTATGGTGACGACGCCCTCACCCCTCAGGAGAGGGACGGACTGGGACGTTTCCTGAAGGGTGGATCTATGCCGGCCGAATTAGAACGACTGTCCCTGAGTTGTACCACCAACCTGCAATCTTCCGAATGTGCTTTCGATTCCGATGCCACGGAAAGCAGCTCAGGAGGAGAAACTGATGTGGAGGAAGATGAATTGGCTCGGGTCGACATTGAGCAACGCCACATTCCTCTGTGAGTACCGACCTTCATTATTCCTGATAATGTGAATCTAGATGGTTTAATGATGAAGGATAAGTGCTGATGCAGGCTGGGTGTTTCATGAAACCATTGCGTTCTCACATGTTAATGAATCATGATGTGCAGATGTTGTTGACTGATTGTAAATTCAGTCAGAGGCTGTTTTACATATCTGCATTTGTAAGTGTAGACTTGTTCTTTCAGTTCAAGATCACATTGATTGCTTTTGTTACAGAGGAATTTTCTTGATAATGAAGGTGTGTTCATCTCTTGAATATCATTACTATCCTGGTTACACATGGACACTCGCCCCGCACTCTCTCTTACATGCAGCAAGCCAGTCGTTTCCTTCCCAAGGGCTGAGCCTTGTTTAAATACACTCAAATGGCAAAGGATTTTTCTTGAAAGGCAGTGTGTCACTTCCTTAAATCCATTCACACACTTTCTCATTCAGTTATTGGGCCTGTTTTCACCCATCCCAACCTCTGGTTAAGAACACACTGGACAAGTGGAAGGCAAAGATAAGGCACTGTTTAACTTCTGTTGATGTTTGTTATATATATTTTTTTGTTTTAGCTTGGGTTATTTTTTTTCCTATCTTCCCAGTATTTACTCTTAATGTTCCCAATGCTCAAACCCAGTAAATATTCCAGACACAAGGAAAGTAATCCTCTTTATGAGGCAGATCTAGATCATTGATAAAAGCATATAAAACGTGTACAGCTTTGATAAATACCACTTTCGCCTAATTTTGCTTTACTTGTTGTACATTAAACATCGGCTCCTCCATCGCGACAGGTCTTCAAGTGGTCTCTTTTGCTGCATCATTTTAGTTGTATGGTGTCTCAATAGCCCAGTGAGTCAGAAATGTTTCCTGGTTTTTCTTTTTTCTTTAAACACAGACTTAGACTGCTCCATGAGGGGATAACCTACATTCAGTGGAGTCAGTCACATGACTATTGCGCAAGGACAAATAGGCTTACTTGCAGATTATGCGACGAGCATAGTGAAGCGCGTTGACAAAGGACTGTTTAACTTTTTTTTTTTTTTTTTTACCTTCCCCACATCCATAGGTACTTCTTTAAAATGGGATTTTAGTCCTTTATTGATGATGCAACAGATTCCTTTGTGGGATTGAGCACTGCATGTTGTAACTTCATGTAAGGTCTTTTTGTTAGGTACTTGATTTGTCTTCCTGCTTAATCAGCCATTAAAGCCAGTGTCTTGATGAGCGAGGAGTCAATTGAGTGCAATCCAAATAAAATCTGCAGTACCCAGTGGGTCATTTGTGTTCGTTTTTGGTTTATTGGTGGTAAACGGTTGCTTTCCTCAAAAGTCACTGGAAGGAAAATGTATTCCATATGATTTCTCATTATTGCTGTTTTGGATTCAGCTAGATAGTTATTGAGATTTTATGTTATTGATGGTGCCTTTTGTAGATATTATTTTGTACCATTCCCCAACCTCAGACAGATTAAGAGTGCTCAAACACTGTGGACCACCTTTGGCAATTCAGGTTAATTATTTGCATGCATCCATGTTCCTCCTGGGACGAAACTCCACTAAATAATCATGTTTCCATGAAGACAAGCTCCAACATCCATTATGAACACAAGCGCAACCACATTTTTCAGTCTTGCTAGTGTCCTTCTGGTACCATGGGCTAAAAATGAGCTTTCATGTACTTTCACGCACCAGCTGGTTGCATTCATTGTTTCTGGGCTGTAATCCTGTTATCTAGAACCGGTTTGAATGAAAAGGAGCCATTGAACTGGTCGAACATCAAATCATACCTGTCATGCCGCTTTCCGCTGTAAAGACTCCTCAACACAATCCGGCCATAAAAAAAACGGAATTTACTGTATAACGTGGAATTTCACGGAATTTGTCATTTTTGATAAATAAAAAGCAGGTCAGTACACTTAAATCAAAACACGATATAGACTAGTGTCTGGGAATATTAAATTGCAAGTATGAATCCTGCATGTTCTGCCTGTCTCTGTGTGAATGAATGGCGCAGACGTGCGGTTTCATTTACCACACAAACTTAATCACGCATGACACTCGCGCCATTTTCAGCCACTGCCGCATCACTATCTGAGGACATGAATGCATGAATCTCCAGAGCCACTCTAAAGGGGGTCGCACACCGAACGAGAAGCGCAGCGCCGCGTCGCGCAGCGCCATGTCTTTAAAATCGCAGAGCAAAGAGGACACTGACACCGACAGACTAGAAAGCGCAGGTTACTTTTGATATGAAAAAAATAAAAAATCAGCTCTTAGGTTCTGTCCATTGTGACAGATCGCTGCGCCTCAGTTCAAGTAAACCGATCATCTGTTACTTTTCATTTGAAGATACAGTACAACTTACCGAAAGGTATGTGCCTCATACATAATATCGGTCAGTCAGTGTTTTTCAAACACGGAAAGAGGTCAATAAAACTGCAGGAGAACAGTTATGTCACAGAACGTTACATTTACCTCAGGAAAGCCATTTAATGACCAGCACATTAGTTGACTAGAAAAAAATAGCGAGGAGTATTTTGCTAAATATGTGCACTATATTACATATTTATTATGTTTACTTGTCATTACATAATTGTTATTATAATGAAAACCCCATTATATTTAATTTCTCTCTGTATGTTTACAGCATTATGTGAGATATATTTTTTTCTTGAGAACAATTTACATGCAGACTGTAGCCTACCTAATATTTATCCAAATGAGTCAATATTGAATTAAGATTGAAATCAAATCCAAGAATTTAATTGAATAATACAAACAGTAGCCTACCAGTCATTGTAACATGTTGTCACTAAACTTAATAAAATTCTGTTTAGTTACCATATGTTTTGAAAATCACAATTACACATTGTGAGGCAAGTTGTTGTTTTTTTAGATACCCACAATCCATATGTTTCTCTTGAGCAATTAAAATATCGTGATAATACTGTATACCGTGATAAAAAGCTCAATCAGTTAACCGCAGCATGAAAATTTGATACCGGCACATGCCTAGTCTAGACTTTGGTAGATTTATTTATTTATTTTTTAAAGGTAGCAAAGTATATCAGAAAATAGACTATACCCATTACTTGATAATAGGGCTGGGCGATATGGCCAAAAAAAATTATCACGATAATTTTTTTTATATCAGTCGATATCGATAATTATCACGATAAATGTCAAATCTTTATTTCTTTCAAGTTTAAAGGCAGATTTTTGCTCCTAAGTGAAAGTTGTAGAAACCAGAGCGTTAATTGTGGTTTTAAACTACTCTTTATTGTCAGAACATATCATGACAAACACTTGCCAAACAGGTGAACATTTCACAAATCTGAGGTAAAACATCATTTGTCATTTTTCCTTAACAAAATAAATATCTGAATAGAAAAATATATTTCTTAGTTTCTGCATGTGCTAATGGGGGATATTGTTAAGTCTTGAAACAGGTTTGTGTTGCCTGACTTTGATGACACGTATATTCAGCACAGTTTGCAGTGCAGGCTCCAATATTAATATTACATGTTTTATCTCGAAACACATATTTGACAGAGTTGACAGTAAATCTGCATCCTAACTCAAGCTAATACTACTATGTTAAATTTATGTTCATTAACAAAAACAGTAACATCTGTTAAAAAAAATTAACTACCACATTTTTATTTGGTAAAATGTAATATTCTGAGTTTTATTAAAATAAACCATTGGTCATCCAGCATCATGCATTTAGATCATGATAACCACAGATAAAGCCAGGCATAGCCTATATAGCACCTCACTATCATGGCAAAATGTAACTTTATGGTTTCTATGGTATTTGTATGAAAAAAGTAGCCTAAATACATTATTAAATACTGTAATTATATTCAATTAGTCATTTAAAACATTGTCTACATTAATAATATAATACAATTCAATATGTATATGCCACATTTCATGGTGCAGTTAATATTACTAGGCTAACCTTAGTAAAGCCATTATAAATGGATTTAGTATCAATTCATATTCTGACTGTATCATTGCGCACAGTGTTTCTCCTGTTTGTCAGCGCTGTTTCATCTGCCTTTAAACTGGTTTAAATCACTGAGACATTGGTGTTCTTCGCTGAACTCAAGCGCTTCTCACTGGATCTAGTGAGCGAGACGATCAGAGTAAACGCGTCTGCTCTAGTGAGCGCGCGCGCGCTGCCGTTTGGACTTTGAGCCGAGCGGATAAATAGTCCGTGAGGCGCGCGCGGTTCAAATGAGTTTCGTTCCGCTTTTGGCGCATAAACATTTATCGAACTCTTGATATCGTTTTATCGAGAAATTATATCGCGATAATTATCGTTATCGTTTTATCGCCCAGCCCTACTTGATAACCTAACACTCTTTATTCACCTAATGCCTTCAAACTGTTATTGTTGTTTTTTCTTCTTTTTCCTGTTATTAAGGCCTCCCCATCGGCATGGTTTCTGGTTTTACCAGTCAACCTTCTAGGTCACATAGCCGCTTGGCAAGCTTCTTTTTTTTTTTTTTTTTTTGGTCCCCTCTCTAATAGTTTTTCACTTTTTTGACATATTCGCTTCCATGTTTTGTTTTTGTTTTTCATCAGAGTTGTCTTGTCTTACTAAATCAAAAGTGTTCTGACAGACTTGACATTTTGATGTAGGGCTGCTCGATTATGGCAAAAATCATAAACGCGATTATTTTTGCCAATATTGAAATCCCGATTATTTAACACTATTATTGGTGGGCGATACGATAGGGGTGGGCGCTATACCGGAATGAACGTGACTACCGGTATTATGTTGTACCATGATATGGATTTTGCGATACCGGGGATGCACGTGCACAAATGTGAAGTACTGGTGTTTAACAGTTAATAGACATAGTTTTCATCCAAATCATGTTGATTTATTAATCAATTTATCCACTGTCTTTTTGTTACAAGGCCAATAGCCATTTACATTACAGCCTTGAATTTGATTTGCTTTTTGCTATTACTCG